CATTGAAGACTGAGGCAAAAAATTCATTGATAATGCACCTTAGGAATTCTGCCCTTAGTCAGGAAACACTGCCAGAAGAGGGTAACGATGTAAAAGCATGTCAACAGATATAAAAATGTACGTCGATATGTTAAGGTGAAATTGCATGATCATTTCATCTGATTCATGTCTTTCACTTTTTCAGGTAGAATACTCAATACTACATTAGGAAAGAGTATAAATATTTAAATTATTAGCTCAGTAATAGCATTTGAAAAAATGAAATCATCATGGGCCTGGGTTATGGCTGGTTTTGTTTTGTTTTCTTCTTTAAGGTGAGTTAGTTTGCTCGTATCCTGTCTGTACCCTTGCACTCAGCTGCAATTTTCAGTTGTTCTTGAACTCACACAGAGTTGCTCCACTAACTGGGATGCTATTGTGAATTTCATGAGCTAATGCTTCTGTAATATACTTTTCTGAATTAAATTGTATTATCAGAGTGTTATTTCAGGACACTGGAAAAAAAGTTTCTTTTGGAATTACAATAACTATTTCTTTGCTTAGTCAAGAAAATAATTGATAAAGAAGTCTTTTAGGAGTTGCTTTACTATTCTTTTTATTAAATTCACATTGCTAACTCATTTGATTGTGTGAGGTGAGTCAAAGGCTATATGGATCATAAATTTTCTACAAGTTGTGACCAAACTAGGTGGACATTTTGTGGTTCGGTCCACTGAATGTTAAACTACGATGTAACTTGATAATTACTCCAAAGCAGTGGCACTGGGCACAATCCAGCTTTCAACTTCTCCAGCAAGTGAGTCCCAGCAGGGCTTGAAGCAGGGGACTCTGTTAGTTGGTTCAGATAGCTGAGCTTGGTGAGGCACTGAATGATAATCATTCCTTTTCCCTCCAATGCACGAAACCACTGTGATTTACCTATAATTACCCATAATTGCATCATCTGACAGTAATGCACAGCTTCCTTTTTCTCAATCTTCAGGCTTCTGATTACTACTTCTTGCTTCATCTTTGAATCTAGGTTATAATACGCTTGGAGCAGAAAGCATTCAGTTTATTCTAATCAGAATACAACCCCCAAGTAATTTAATGACCACAATTAATTTTAATATGACAGAAAGAGTTGCCACTAAAGTTGTTTTAGAGCATATTCGCTACTCAGTTTACAATAATCAAGTATAGCGTCTCTTCAGAGCTGGGAAATGATCTTGCTTTGTTTTCCTAAGGAAAAAGTTAGAACTGGTAATGGAACATACTGGACAGGTGGTATATGCATTGCTTTTTTGGTAGTTTTTTCTCACAGTATTGGTTAAATGACTCTGTTTTATTGATGTTTGCACATTATTGTAAGAATACAGTCTCCTTTCAATCAGTGGCCCATGATATGGTTTGAGACTGCATGTTTTGGAGACTTTTGTTCCTAGGCAGTTCTTTTCTTTGTAGTTATTGAATCTTCAAGTTTTGGAACTTGCCTATATACCATAATCACCAAGAAGACTTTTTATAAATGTTTTTTAAGATTCAGAAGAAAGTTCACCTTTAGTAGTTAGTTTGAAGAATTCATAATCTATGACAAAGTTCCCTGACAAAATCTGAATTCTGTTACTTTTATATCTGAAAACTCTAGTTAACTGAATAATAATTTTGCAGCTTATTTATTCCTGCATGAATATTTATAAAAAGATTTATCTAATTTCTGCAAACAACAAGTCTCACTATGAAAGTTCAAAGTATCATAACATGTGTTCATGTTCAAAATATTTGTCTCAAGCACAGTCCAAAAATCATCCACTGAGGGTTACTTCATCTGTTGGAGTCGTAATAGGAGTGTGTGATGTAGCTGCAGGATAAGTAATTGCATTGCTGTGGGGGACAGCAGGCTGAAGTATTAGGAAGGAGCAGACAGTTTGCTCTAAACAGTTCAGTAATTCAGAGCTGATTTATTTCAGGTATTTTCTAAGATGCTGTACCAAAGCTTTTTTAATTATTATATATAATTCTCTTTCAGTAACCGACTTTTAAATTAGTTCTTTTCTTGTTTTAGGAAGGAACAACCAAAATTGGAAGAAGTGATTCAGACCAAGATCAAGATATTGGTAAGAGGATGATATTACAAATTATTTTATGGTATGGTCAGGTCAAACCAAGAGGTTTACATTTGTCATGTGTAATAGCTAGGTAATGTTTCTGTTTGTCAACTTTCTTTATAGAAGAAGGTAAGTAGAAGAGAATAATTGTTTAAATTGACTAAAATCTTTCAGTTGTTTTTTGTTATTGTTTAAGAGGTCAAAAAGTCAATGGTCTTGACCTATTTGAGATCTCTTCAGAATTTTCTTCCCACTTGTGAAATACTATACCAGTATTTAAAAATATCTTTGTACACCATCCAAATCTTGGTATGTTCTATCCTGAACTAGTGGCACAAGCGATCATGAGACACTGAAAATGCTTCTCAACTCTACTTGGGCAGAGTGTTTTAGATATGAAATCCAAATGATTAAGAATATTTTTTTATTTAGTTTCATTTCTGCTCTTAATTTTAACAGTCAATATTAAGAGCTACAAATTATGATAGAAGGTTGAAACTTTATATTGAAATTAGAAACTTTGTACAGTCTCAGCTTTGGTTAGTTCTGCTAAGTTTGGTTAAGTTTGATTAGTTTCAGCTAGTAGGTTAGTAAAATACAAACAATAAATGCCATAATAGAAATAAGAAAATTCAGAACGATAGAAAAATTTGCACATCAACTCACAAATCAGAAAGTAGTGTATAGTTTTCCAGAACCAAAAATACTTTAAAAGAGCAATCTTACCATTTTCATTCAGGTAAGTTTTTCTGCGATTGGGTACTCCGCCAGCAACCAAAGACAACAATTTAATCCCCTTGTTCTGACATGACGTAGTTCTCTGAGGTATGAAGTATGCCGTCATAGTGCCAAACAGCACGTGGTACTTCATCCCAAGGAAAATTGCGCAAGCCCAACCCTTTCAACAGATAAAACAAATCTCTGCATTGCAGTTTTGCAGGGACGATGGATTGAAAGGGATCATTGTATGATAGACAACAACTGTGGGATTGTGACACTGCGACCAGCCCTGGGCGCACATTGCACTGTGAATGGGTGTGAAGTCACTGGATCATGTCGTCTGTCACAGGGTAAGGCTTGCTTTTTCTGTGAATGCTGCATTATAATAACTTACCTCTGGAGTTTAGAGACAAGGATTTAGGGAACTCATGCAGATCTAAGAAATACATCTCTCAGTTTCCGGTTGCTGCCTAGCACCACAAGGTTTGATCCATGGCTAGAGCTTCCAGACTGGGACCAATAAATTAAATACCCCACAGAAAGTAACATGAAAACATAGGTGACAATATTAAGACCCCCTTTTGGCAGCACTAGTCTGTAGACTTCTGAAGAGAAAAGACCTGTGGTCAGAAGCAGTGTTATGGAAAGTATTGGAGACTGGCTCTAAGCCAGCTGACCACCGGGGCAGGGGATATTTTGGCAGTTACATAATATGGTTGAAATGGCCTTCAACTTTTTCACAGTGTGTGTAGGTGGAGGGTACTAGCCACTGACCCATAGGCTATGGTCATTGAGCTCAGATGAAATGGATCATGCTCCCGTATTTTCAGGTGGTTTAAAATAAAAAAAGCTATCCAGTTTCTGGGAACTTGCAGTGATCTGAAGTCTTTAAAAGATAGTGTAAAAACAAGTTTCCAGCAGTGGTTTGATTAGGTTTTTGCATGTGAAGTCGTGCTGGTCTTTAATAGGGATAGGGAATTTACTGATTACTTTGCCTGGATGCTGTCAGCACAGAATGATAACTCTGTTTCATAGTGGCAAATGTTAAAAATAGTTCTCTGCTCTGTGACGGTCAGAAAGCTGTTGGTCAGAAAATATATTTTTTTTAACATACTGTTCTGTAGTAGTTTGTGTATGCTATAGTCTGTAAAATGGAGTTAGGAAACTGCTAACATTCTAGGGACCAACTGATGAGTTATCTCTCTGTAGATTTTTAATGAATTTTTGTTCACAGGGGCCCTTGTTGTCCTTGGCAAGTCTCATAAGTTTAGATTCAATCACCCAGCAGAAGCTGCTATCTTAAGACAAAGAAGATCAGTAAGTTCTAAAGCTGTAGTTTTCTATCCTAATTCTTCATTGATTTTCCTAATTATTTTCCCTCTTAAAAGCAAGCCTGATTTAGATAATTTCTTCCCATCATCATATTCACTTGCTTCATTTCCTCCATCTAATGATCTGTAATGACACTAAACCTTTTGTGGGAGGACACTAGCGCTTCTTTCAGATGTGTTTAGCAAAAGATGATGCAGATCCTTTGAATAATTTAGTGTTTCCTATTTCTAGTCATGACTATAGTAGGATTGAAACAGAAAGGCAGGATGCCGCAGTGAAAAAAGCAGTTACAAATCTTTCTATATTTGATGATTTTCTGAATTATCTTCTTTCTCTGTCATTTCACTATCCCAAATGAAGTATACTAGAAGAAATGGAAAATTTATGGGATTAAGTGCTTGAGTATTGTTGACTCTGAGAGCGCTTAATTGTTACATACATCAGAAATAGATAAAATATTTCTTGGTATGTCAATCTCAAGAACTGACTACTGCAAGATATTATTTGGTCAGTTCAATAATTTTTTTAAAAAATAGTTAATTCTTAAAGTGACTGGTATGTATAGCTAGAAAATCTAACGTAAAGAATGTAAATTTTCTGGTTTAGGACATAACCGTATTGCCAACTGATATTGGCAAGAATCTACCTTTAAAAATGGATTTTCATACAGCAGTGACATTTTACACTTTTTGCTCAACTGTCCTTTTGCAGTCACTTCTGTAGTTGAGATAAGGCCTTAACTTCCATTTGTTTTCATTCTTAATTTTTTGAGTAATGAAACATGCAGTACATTAAAACAGAGCTGCAAGAAGAGAGGTACTCAGTAACAAATACTTAGCAGTTTTGCAAATTATCAAAGAAAAGCAGAAGTGTAAGTGCCATTATAAACTCACGAGAGGTATTATGCAGCACGGCACACAGTAGTTAGCAATGGCGGTATCGATGATAACTTGCAAGTTCCTGGGTTGCTGTGATATTTTTTTCTTCCTATTCTCATGTTGTGTTTTGTAGATTAATGAAACCCCACCCATTCTGAGTTGTGGAGCTTTGGACTGGCTCAATTTGGATGGAGGTTGCACCCAGTCTCCTCACTATGTGCTTTCTTCTCTTGACAAGTAAGTTTAAAACAAAGAAAAAACTAAACTGTTTCTCATGTGGGATCATGTCTGAAACCAGGACTTGGTTCAGACAAAACTGAGTTGTGTATAGAACAGTCCCATCATGTTTTTCAAGTGATCAAATAAAAGTGTCTGAGAAAATGCATTGGCCAACTGACTAATATACTGTGTTACGATATCCAAGCAACTAACTGGAAAAATTATTTATTCATGTACAATGAGTATTGATGCACAATCAAGAAAATGCCTCGATTGAGACTGTCAGGCAGCCTTTTTTCAGTTCACTTGCACATCTGCATTATAGCTGTTTTGATTTACAAGCTAATCTATATTTTTTACAATACTCTTACTTCAGCACACAGAGTGGACTTTTCTAGATATGATTTAGCCATGGTAATTATTACCAGTTCAGCTTCCCTGCTAATTTGTTGTGGAAATCCGGTTTGTTCATAAATTCCCTGTAGTTCAAGTCTTCATTGAGCCCTTCATCTCAGAAAGCCATTGTGATTCTCTTTTTTTTTAAAACTAAGCAGTAAATAAGGCATAGACCGCTTCTGAAATGTTGAAGAGCTGCTCATACTCACAGTGTCTAGGGTATGATTTTTATGGCAGAGCATTTCTGAAAGGGATAGGATTGGTGTGATGAAGACAGTGATTAATATGAATCAGGAAAATTAATTAAGTTATCTCCTGTGTTTCAGTTCATAACATTGAGAACAGAATATCACGTAATTAAATGTAATTGGATTATTTCTCTTTTTTAATTCCTCTCAGACTGGCACATTCAATTGACCTTTTAAAGGCAAGAAAAAGCCATCTTCTCGTTTATATCTGTTGATAGTTCTGCTTCTTGCTAGAGTGTTTTTGGTGTGGTAACATACTGGGAATCTTTTATCGCTTTTAGAGGAAGTATCTCATTTTTATGACCATAAAACGTTATCTCTGTTTTGAAGATCTCTCATACTTTTAGTCAAGTAGCTTGCTTTCCGCCTTGGATAGTGTGTTTCTGTGTGTTTTTAATGTATCTAATCTCTGCATTTGCTTTTCATTTGCTGCAGTGGTACCTTTCTATATAAAATGGTATTTCATTTTGTTTCTTTACTGAGGTACGTTTTACACATTGCTGCTGTTATTTTCTTTGTAAAAATTGCAAAGAATTTAAAAATAAGGGTTTGTCTAATGACCTTCAAAAGTAGGTACCAAGTTGCTCTTTACATGGGTATAAACATCAGAGGTGGAGCTTTTGTCACAGAAATTTGTTGATGGTCCCAGAAAAACTTTCAGAAATCCCGAAGCATTGTGAACAGTTTAGCACAGAATTGCACTTGGTTTTCCCCTTTTTAACCTGACAAAACTGAAAAACGTTTCTGATTGATTTTTTTTCAGACCACGTTCAGATGGCAGATTTGTTTGTGTTGATCAATTTTTTTAATCCTTTGGACAGGACATATTACATTGCTAATCATTACCCTCATACTTACCTGGAGTGTTTCAAATGGTTACTTCAGTGAAAATGGAAAGCATTATGGTATTGCATTCGCTTGATTTGTATGATTCGCTTGATTTCCATCTTTTACAGGAATAAGCTACAAACTATGTCTAATATTAGTTGTCTTTCACCTTACATAATCCAGTGGCCTTCTTTTCCCTCTTGAGTAGTTGTTTTGGCAAAGGTAAACCAAATTGATCCACTCAGCTTTCCTTCACAGTAACCAGTAAGCCTGTGTTTCTGTCCAGACAAGTAGTTTTGCTCATGCAGGGGGTTATGATAGAGACATCTAGCCTAAAACCTGTAATATGAGAATAAAACAAGTTATATATGGTCTCTCAAATGCCCGGCTTTCATGAAGAAAAGTCAATGTCAGGTACTAAAAGGTGTGGCTGAGGTACTTTGCAAACAGTAATACAGGAGTAAGTGGACTACAGTGAGTGATTATTTGCTCCTCAGTAAGAAGTCCACCTAGTGCAGGATCTTGTCTCTGTCAGTAAGAGATGCCTAGAGGAAAATATAAGAACAAGCTGTGTGTGTGTGTGTCTCTCTCCCCCGCCTCCCCTCTCTCACTTTATAGTTCTTGATGCTCTCCCAGCTGCTAGCAATCTGCATCTTACAGTCTTCCTCTACTGAAAATTACATGTCTGTGTACAGTAGGCTTCAGTGAAGATATCTTGCCTTTATTTTGAACATCTTTATGATTTCCTATTTTTATTTTTACAGTCAAAAATGTAGAAACTGTAAAGAAAAATGTTCTCCTGAACTAAGGTAAGAATATTAATGTGTCTAAATTGTGCTGAATCTTTTGGCCTCTCTAGCTTTGTCTTTCTCTGGTGTTACACTGATTTCCTCCAGAACAGATGCAAACTAGGCTTCAAGGTTTAATTTGATTTTATCATATTGAAACAAGAATCTGTACATGCAGCTGAGTTATAGGCAAGTCTCTGCAACCATGTTCTCTCTTCATACTCCATCTTGTGCAAACAGTTTGCACCTTTGTTGCATGTGTAACCTGTATTTTAAAGCTGTGACTAGAGTGGGGTTTACGCTGAAGCTGCCACCAATTTATAAGAACTCTAAATTATATTGAATTTGATGTCAGTAGTAGGTACTGTGAATACTCAGTATATTGAAAATTCCTTGTACAAATTGAGTTCTTTTCTGGTGAGAAGACAGTGGCTTCATGGAAGATTCCAAAAAAGAAGTCTTAGAATAGAACATGGTTCATTCATGCAAAGAATCACAGCAGCTGCACACAAAAATCATGCAGAAATTTTTGGGCTTCCATAGGTTTAAATACTCTTTAATCAGGAACTGATGGTACTTTACTTTCTTCTGGATTTTTTATTTCAGAACATATGCATGTATTATGGTAATGATTACTTATAGTCTTATTTCCCATGCTGTGAATATGGTGACATTTTTCTCAATATTCATGGGTTGAATTACTAGTTCAGCCTCTCATTGTAAGTTAAAATATCTTGAGAAATGAGAGAGAAAACACATTTCTACCATTGCACCCAAATATTAAAACTTTGGGCATGAAACCTTCCTTGAAAAGAGGCATGAGTCATTATACTCTTACTTGGCTGCTTGCTCATACACGCTACTCAAAAGAGCCCCAGCACTTCAAACTTCTGATGTTTGTTGTGAGCCAGCAAACACACAGAAGGCTTGTGACTGGCATCAGTCGTCATGTGACAGCATCACCACAAATAAGTAGATAATGAAGTTCTTGCTCCTGTCATTGCCTTAATACCGTACCGCATATAAATACAAACCCTAATTTTGTTCTCTTGCTGGTTTAAAAAAAAAAAAACAAACAGAAGTTGTTCCATTAGTGCCCAGGGGTATAGCAGTGCACTGAATTACTTTTAGCTGCTTGGAGAGTGTTTAAGCTCTCCTTGAAAATACCTACATTGTTAAACCAGAGGGAAAAAAAAATCCTATAAGAATGCGTGAAATTCTACTGAACTGGAAAGGAAATAGTGCCCATAGATATGACATCTGATGCTGGAGAACACAACACAATTATAGTCTAATGTGGTATAGTTAACATGTCCAACTAGTATTTGTAAAAATAATACCCTGAGTTCTTACTAACAGCTTTCATTTGAGAATTTTGAAGTGCTCTACAAATAGGAGTTAAATCTTTTGCATCTCTTGCAAGATCCCTCAAATATTTCATTTCTCAGAGAAATGCACTGTGTCAATTACAGCAACTCCACAACTCACAGCAGGATCAGTGGTGATATAGCAGGGGAACTAACTGATTCTATATATAACTGAAATCATAAGGGGAAAACCTGTGATAGATTGTAGTTCCAGCTGAACTGGAATTTAGTAACACAGCAGTGACGTTTACTGGAGTGTGTGGCTGTGTCTTGTGCCTGTGACTCCTTGCCAAAAAGAGGTTTAAACATTTCAGAAGTGCATTTAAAGGGTTGCCTTAAATAAGTTGTTGCCCTCCTGGTGTTTTAGGGGCTTAGGCAAAGAAAAAGAATTAGGTTCTGCATGGAAATGCTAAAAAAAAAAAAAAAAATACACAGGTGCTTTTTCTGTAAGCAAACCAGCTAATGAAAAATTCAAATGATCCTTCACCTGATGGTAACCTCTGTGAGAGGGATTACTCTGTGTGTACGTTTCCAAAGGTCCCTTATTTCTAAAGGTTTCTGACTGCTGGCCGTTTTGACTGATTTCTGATTCCCACCTCCTGCCCTCCACCCCCCTACTTTTGCTGAAATGTGTGAGTGGCATTGCTTCGGGAGGCTGGAGGAGGCAATAATACAAGCTCTTCTTATCTACATCGTCACTCTTCCCTTTGCCTTGGGGAGGAGAAGGAGAGGTTGGAGCTTCTCTGCTAGGCAGAAGCAGATGTAGGATCCTGTGCAGCTGCGTGGTGCGTGCTGCTGTGAGATGCTCTGAGGCCCTGTGGGAAGGGCCCTGGGTTGGACACGGGTGGAGGGGGAGGATGGAGCGGGGGTGGATGTATATCAGTGGATGGGCTTGTAACCCTGACTGGTGATTGCTCCTAGTGCCGGGATTTACAAGATGCCTTGCTAGCATCTATTTTTCTGCTTTATTATTAACTCTTCTTCCCCTGGCAAAAATCATTTGTAAAAGAAAAATGAGACTTTAACACTAGGCAGCCAGGATGGGGATGCTAACTTGACTGATGTTTTCTTTGGGAAAATTGGCAAATTTCAGCTTTTAGCAACGGTGGTTATTTTCACTTGAGTTTCTCTATTTGAGCCTTAAGGTTTTGTTGCAGAAGGCATTCAGCCTCACCACAGAGCTATTGCTGCCATAGTTACTGAAAACTGCATTATGCTGTAGCAGCCGCCAGCCCCTGCATCAGCAGTAGAAGTGTTTGGGGAAGAGGGGAGGAGAATTGCACAATAGGATCCCGGAGAGCTGACGACAACACAGGCTGGAAAAAACGTGGATTTACAGATGGTTCATTTAGCATGCGTCATGCAAACTTTGTGGAGAGAAAAATGAGATGGAAAAGCAAACCGGCAGCAGTGGTATAATATGCAAATTTTCTCAGTAATTTGTCATTATCTTTAGTTTAAGGTTGGTGTATTTCTGTTGTAATTTTACTTGATGTTTTAAATGCTTACTTGGAGGAGGGGTAACTGTTGACACTTCTTGCTGCATTTGGTGCACCTAAAATCTGCATGCTTTTATGAAATTCTATGCAGGGTTGCTTTTTTTTTATGTGCTGTATATATACCTGTGAAACCAAGATTTTGTGTGTGTCTCAATACCTACAGAAATGAATGTTTTTCTTATGCTTGTCCCGAGGTTATATTATTTCCTGCTAGAACTATATGGAGCATAGATTGCTTATGTGGGAAGGCAGGAATACCAGCAATAGCAGAAATTGATCTGTGCTTCATTCCTGTATCTCGTAGTATTCCTGTATTTCAAGTCTAAATTTAACAGTACGTCTGGTTTAAGATGTTTCAGATGAAAGAAATTAGTGATCTCATCTACCTATTACAGAATGTGGCTAAATTCTTATGTTAAATGGATTAATGTTTGGCTTTAGTTTAATCATTCAAACGTGTTACGCAAACTGATTTTTCCTTAAATTGTCTAGTAGGTGATTGAGTTTTGAAGTGTGTGTGAATCTGGTATTTTCTTTCTGGGCCATTGTCACCTTATTTTTTAGTTTGGTTTGTCATCTTATTTCCACAAACCAGCAAAAGCGTGTTGACATGACATAGCATGTTTGAAGGTAGAAGGGAGCATTCTTCATGTTCTTGGTTTCAGCAGTTTCTGTGAGACAGATATGTATCCCAAACCCAAACCAGCCAGTCATTTTGCTCTCACGGTCAGTAGTCTCACAGCCAGAGGAAAAACATCCTCTGGCATACTTGTATTATGTAAGTGGCTCTGTGTGAATTTTCATTATCTTTTTGTTCTGCTTGAGAAAACCATCTTTAAGAAGCAACTTCGTAAAACGGTGTTTACTGTTCAATCTCTGTATTCAGACCTGTCTTTACTGGGTTTTGTTTTGTGTTATTAAAACTTAGGAGATGAAGCAAAGAGGTACTGAAATAGCAGCAGAACTGCAATTCATGTATATATCTTCAGCAACAGTATTTTATCACAGAAACTTTAACCTTAGAGAGAGAGAGAATTGTACCGACTGGCTACATCACCAGAACAAAAGCAATAATAATACTGTAATGGTAATGGTTGCTGTGCCCTGTTTGTTTTTCCAAGGTTAAGGTGAAGTATGGGTGTGCATCGGTACTCTGCCTTTTTGGGGTGTAGTCATAGTATGGAGCTGTGATGAATAACATCAGTTTGGCCTGCATCGTGTTCGGCTCTGTGTGCAAACACATATGGCTGTTGGAAAGGATCTTACAGTTTCATGTTAGTTCAGCAAAAAGCCATTACACGAGGGAATATGCTAGTGCTGCTGAGAACAGCAAACACTTCCCATGTGCATTGTTTGCATTGTTTGTTCTCTGATACTTTATAATATATGGTGGGGAGGCATTCAGCATTGTTGGAAAGTATGGGAAGAGCTTGCAACCCTCTCCCAGCGGTAAACAGATGTTATCTATCCACCTCTGTGAGCATTCTGAGGTCTTTGGATTGAAATGCAACACTGAGTTGTTTCACATACTTAAATGTTCTGGGTTTCAATTTGTGAACAGTTTGAACTCTGATAGGTTGATTTTATGGAAAGGACATCTGAGAGCTAAAAGTCATGGTTAGGAAGAATATGAGACATTTTGTAAGAGGAATTTTATTTTATCTAATGTTAGTAAACAGCTGCAGAACAAGAATTCTTTGTCTACTGTTTTACTGTCATGCTCTGTTTTTCAGCCTTATTGACAGTGGTTTACTAAGTTTCCTCAATCTTATACAGAATGATGCTAATAATGATAAATTGATAGAAATCATCTCTTCTGATACTTGACTTTCTAATATTTGATAATGTTAATGGATCCTCATCACTCGTCTTGGATGAATGTACTTTGCTTTTCACACGTCTCAGACTAAGTGACTTGCCCAAAGTCATGCAATTGTCCAGTAACAAATTTAGGCTCACATTTTTCAACTTTCATAGCACCATAGGAATCAGAGCTTTTATATGTCTGTTAGCAAAACAGGTTAAAGACTACCCCATCATCAGAGTATGCACAGGTACTTAACATTTGTAATTGCTATTAAGGTTTATTTGTTTTAACGTATCAGCAAGAAGAGGCTTCAGCTGATGTGATGTGCTGGGTTTATGCGGTGGGGTTTTGGTAGCAGGGGAGCCTCTGCAGCCCCTGTAAGGAGATGTGAGAAGCGCTGACTTCAAGGCTCTGTTAGGTTTAGCACACAGGCATCCAGAGGCAGTCCTCGCCCTAAAGAACTTGCAGCCTGAGTATGTGAAAGCACAGAGGTGATATAACAGCTCCAAAATCAGAGAGGTTTTGTCTCAGATCAGTATTTTAGTCTCCAGATTCTATGGATGCTGTATTACATTTCTCCTGGAAAATATGGAAGATAACCTGGAAGCCGCGTTCAGAGAAAGCCTCCCTCAAAGTCATGTTAAAACCATGGGAGCTTTTCCTAATCGAGATCTTTCAGATTTAATACTATTCGAAAAGTGATTCTTCTTTAGTTAACCAGTCTAGTGTTAACCTCTGAGTTTGTCCCCCAGTAGTTGGTGTCATTACAAATACCTGAACAGCTGGAGATTTGTAATGACCATCTGAGCGTTCCAGTGCTGCAGTGAAGTGTCAGTTCAAACCTCCTTCAGCTGAATGAGGAATGAGGCATCCCGCTCCTATTTCCTGGGGATCAATTACAGTTTATCCGAGAGGAAAAAATTACAAATCACAGATTGTTGGCATCTTTGTAGTCAAGCCAAGGACAAACAGATCTTGGAGCTGCCTATTCTTATAATTTGTTCCTGTGGGTCCCAAACAGACACAAACCATTTAGCAGATGACAGTAGCAAAGTTTGTACTCTGACTGTTTGCAGTGTGCCAGACAATTGAACAGAAGATGTTCCTTTTCAGTTATTCTCATCAGCATTACAATTACATAAACATTACAACCAACTGAATTCTGTTTTCCTCAGGTGAGCAAGAGAGGGTCACAGTAATATTGCAAATTATTGAGTATCTTAAGGCTTTTATGTAGCGAGGCTCTCCCACTGCTTAAGTAAGTGAAATATATGTTCCATGTGAAGGTACTCCAGAAGATTTGTACACTTTGGCTGCTTAATAGTTTCATCTGTTTTGTCTGCTAATCTAGCCCACAGAATCAAAGTTGTTGCTGTAGAAATGGTTGCTTTGAACGCATGCTTACAGTTCTAAACAGAGATGTCAAATTAATTCCTATGGTAGCAAAGGTCAAATGCTTTTTTCATACAGGTGACCTTGTATTGGTAATGATTTTACAAACAACATGATGTTTCCAAAGCATTCCCTTTGAAATTATATTTTTGTTTTCTTTTGACCTTCGGGGACTCTTTAAAGAGTTTTGATACCTTTTCTCTCTTTAAAAGTATAATAAATATATCATTATAATAAATATATCATTTACTTCATTAGTAAAATATATTTTAAATTTTTTTTCCAAGATTTAATTTTCTGAGGTTACATATAATAACCTGGTGTTCAGAAATAAAACAATGGGCAAAAATCATATATCACCTTTATATATAATATAACTTTAATGTTAAGAATTTGTGATGATAATGTGTTGACAGGTAGAGGGTTTCAGAGGGTTCATGTATTTTGAATATTAGCATGGATCATGCTAAGAATAGATACTATTTTGATTGTTACTCTGTGTGTGTGCATGTAAAATTTTGGCACGCAGTCAGGACCCAAACATCTTGGAGGGGACTGTAAGGCTGTTTTTTTCACAGGTTAGTCGCTTTTCTGATCACAATTCTGCTCCAAATATAGAAGCAGTAACCTAATATAGTTGTTGCATCCAACAGAGAATTGGGTGATCAAGTGCTTTCCTTGGTACTGCCAGAGACAAGTCAGTGTAAGCTCAACGATGCCTGTAACCCTTTCTAGGTTGGAGATTTTTGATCTGAAAGCAGAGAAGAATGTTCGTCATTTCTGTAAAGCACTTTGAAGTACTTAGATGTCAAATATCCTATGTAGTGGTTATAAAATTTTATAACATATAAACAACCCACCTCCCCAGTTTCATTTTTGGAAGACCTACAGCAAAATGAAAAGTTACAATATTTTTTTAAATTCTTTTTGCTATTATCTTTCTGGTGATTGAATTTTCTGCTTCACCACGAGAACTTTCAAGTTTGCTGGCATTTATGATACTTACAGGGTTAAGTAGCCTGCTGTGACGTGCATATACAGACTACTTTACCATCACAAATTTTTGTCATAGTGCACTCAATGAGCAAAACAGTATCTTGAATGCTGTCTGTCTTTAGTAAGATGGTTTGTTTTATTACAAATGTTTGGTCTTCGTTTCTGGTTTAAATTCACTGTCAACATTTCTAACAGTGGAGAAATAGATGCTGTGCATGAAGAGTACAAGAAGAAACTAAGAGACCAGGAAGCTTTTCACAGAAAACAAATTCAACGGCAGCAGCTCTATGTTGAGGCTTTAAAGCAGCAGATCCTGAGAGGACAGATCAAAGCAGAGCGGGAACTAGAAAATGACCAAGCACTGATCAACCAGCAGATCCAAGAAAGTGGGTACCTGCCTCCTCCCCTCTCTCACTTCTCTTCCATTACCACATTCTTTCATCCTCTTGATGTTTTTGTCCTAGTTATGCTTTATATTATGGGTGGAACTTTTGTTATGGCTTATTACTAGTTTTCTCTTATAATTGCCTTTCCCTTGAGAACAGTTATTAAGCTTTGATTAACAGGACTAAAGGGCTGCCTCCGCAGTGCACCAGCAGCATCATTTAATTAGCTCTGCAGGTCATTGCTGGGAGGGGCAGCACCAGCGTGCTACTGCCCTGTGGCACCCAGCCTCTTGTCTCCCAAGCTGCTCCCCGTCCTGCCTCCCTGCAGCTTTGCTCTGCTCATCTCTGTAGTGCAGCTCTGCCATGTTGCAATGTAAGCCCAGTCTGCTACTGCGTTGTAAGTTTTTCTGGTGATCTACCTGTGTTTAATCAATGAGTTGTTCTGGGAGTTTGACGTTGAGGTGACTGTGGCTGTTCCTACCATAAGTTTTCAGGGGAAACTGCTGTAACAGGATGCGATAGGAACCAAGCAGCACTTCGCAGACAGTGACGCGTGTTGGTTGCGGTACTCTCTTTACGCATTTCATTGATGCTGTCAGCTGTAACAATATAGACCATTTTCACGTGCTTTTAATTAATTTCACTCATTAGGAAAAATAGGGCCATGATGTAAGATGATGGCTCAGATTGAATTTTCTGTGGTCGCTATGTTGCTGTGTGAGTTTTAAACCATGAAAACAAACAAAACACATCTGAGAAGTAGGTGGGACACTGAAGTTCAGAGCTGAAATCCCAGCCCTAGTTAAGAGAAAGACAGTTTCACTGGCTTTTATATAGTCAGTGTTTCCACACCCCCCCGCCCTTTTATAGCATGAAGAAAAATGTATTAATATATTCTGTGGTAGAAACTGAAGTGCAACAAAGGTTAAGGTTAAAAATAAGATGTGGGGTTTATTTACCCTAGAGATGGTTAGTTAGTGGTATTGCATTCTCTACTGCTGATTTGTTCTAAACCAAAACTGGATTAAAAAAAGAGAAGAATGCTTTAGTTCAAATAGGAGTTATTTCTAGGAAGTTCTGCAGTGTTATGCAAGAGTACTAAAGGACAGCTCAGTGATGAGATTTCAAATGGCAAATAGCCACCTCAGAAGGTGGAGCCACTGTGTATTTGGAGAGATATTCTTTAGTGTCAGTATCTCCTGGTCCCCTGAGGTGCTGCTTTGCATGCAGGCACACATACTCGGCAAGATGTTGTCGTGGTGGGGTTGGGCTGCCCCTTAACAGGTTTATAGATTGATTTGAGAACGTTTTAAACCTTGAGATGTTTTTGACCACTGAAACTGGATGGTTATACTGTTCTCTAGTTTGTCTTCTAATTAATGATTTCGGCCAGGTTTCTTGATAAGCAAAGTATGCCTATTACAAAGGCACTGTTCCCACTTGGCAAAACCTGCTCTTGGTTCCTGGAAGAAAACTTATGTGAATATTTGGAAGCTTCTCAGACCCAAACTTATGCAGTTTGCTATCTTTTAATTATGCCAGCCACAATGAAGAGATTAAAAGGAAATTGTGGTTATGAGATGCAGCAGAAATAGATTTGGATATGTAGATAGTACAGAGAACCAGGCGAGTTCCCCCAAAATATCTTTATTTCGTGGCTCTGTAGACTTGTTCTCTGCTTCCATCTAGTTCTGCTGTTTTTGCTGCGTTCACAGAAAGCTTAGCCAGGCAGGTAGTTTTTGCCAGCGAGATACAATTCTTGACTTGGCAACTCACCAAAGTCTCCACCTTTTCTGTGCCCTCTGTTTCTTGGCTCCTGACAGAGGCAAGTTCATGAGCAGAGATTAATAAACATCTTAGAGCTTGCAGCTCTGTTGCAGGGAAACTCTTATCTGCCAAATATTCTGCTTGATAGAAACATGCTAAAGAGGACAGATCTGGAAATAAAGAGTTGAGAAAAAAATCTTTGTATGTGACAGTTAAAAACGTTATTAAGAAAAATTAACTTTTAGTTAATTAATGACTAAAAGGCTTCCTTTTTATCTGTAACCATAGAGTTAGAAATTCTACTTCTGTGCATGTGCTGTGCGCAGAGGTGCCAACATAAACAGGACAGGAGACTCATTATGGTAGGGATCACTAATGAAGTATATTTAACAAGATCAGTAGTCACCAAGCAAGTGATGCCAACATGGCTGTGTGCTAATGATTTCTTATATTAGGGAAACTTTGACAACCAAAAATTACTCTCTTGCAGCTCAGCTGTGCAGAGCTGTAGGTAGCCCTTGTTCATCACATCAGACTTAAATATCTCTTAATTCCTAACCCCCTGAATAAGCAATGAAAGGTTGCTTAGTCAGTAAAGGACTGCAGATTGAATGTAAGCCCAGCCAAAAAAATGTTGCTGCTAGTAAGGCAGAAGTGCGTTGAAAAGCTTTGGTCCTTTGAGAAATGCTCTACTTGTCAAGGAACCTTGCCTGTGTTTTTTACATTGCTTTTTCAGCTAAGGATATTTTTTGTTTGCTTTATGCAGCTAAATATGTATGTTTTTATAGCAGCATAAAAATGAAAAAACTCTGCTTCAATTAGAGAACGTGTCCAAGCTATCAGACACAATCTGGTAGTGGTGATTTCAACAATTCCTTCTTTTGATGGTTACAGTTCATCATAGCTCAGATTGAAGCCAGTGCACTCTGAAAAACCTCTAAGCACATCCTCTGCATGGAATAAAGTAGTCTTGCATCCAGGGTTAAAAACAAATCAGCCAGGTGTTCTGTGTGTTTTCTACTGCTTCCCCATTGACTGCAAAGATCGAGTTCTGAATATTTAGAGAAGACTTCAGTGTGTACGCAGAAGTAATATATTTTATTATCAAATTAGGTTAATCATTTTGTTTGTGAGCATATTTAGCATTTATGAAATATGAGGGACATGAACAAAAGCAGAGAAGCTAACTCTCTTTGTGGAGCAGAGTGATGATTTTATGAAAAATACGCGTTGACTGGTGATATGAGCTTGTCTTTTTTGAATTATGTTCATCCTGATAGCTAAAGGTTGTGTCGGCTTCACCTGCATCCTTGCCATGAGAGCATTATATTTATTTCAAGTACATTACCTGCTAAAGTGCTCACGTACAAGATATGTGGGCTGTTTGGCAAGTGCTTGTTGGAGCAGCCATAGTTGCAACAGGTGATAAATTTGTGGTTGTTGCTCTGCCTCAGCCAGGTGCCACACAGGGTTTGTGTTTCTTGGGAAGTTTTCATCTGATGGGTTCGGAGAGGCTGCCAGAGCTGTCTGGCAGGTGCCTATATGGTGGCTTCCTTGTAGCCTTGTCTTCAACCTACTTTGAAGGTTGCATGCCCATCCACAGCACTGGCAGCTGCCCCCACAAACGAGGCACATCCCAACTGGGGCGCAGAGAGGTCTAGCCTTCAGACTTACTGAACTTGCTAGCAATAAGGGTGAGCACAAAAATTGCCATTTCCTGTGCTGAACGAAGTTCCTCAGCATGACTCTGGGCTCCCTCATTTTCAGCTTGCCTAGGTAAGTCGGAGAAAATAGTCTGCAGGTGGTTTTGTTGGTTCAGTCAAGTTAGAGAGGAAAGGATAGGAGCAAAAGGCAGAAAGACAAATGCTTGGTTTAGAACAGTTGTAGAACACTCAAGTGCTGTGATGAGAAGACAGGAACATTTTAAGATTGCACAAATGCTTATGTTTTCACTCGAAATGTAGGAATTTATTAGCCAAAGGCTCATTAGTGTGTGCATGACATTCCATTTGCTGCATTAACACAGTCTGTTTAGCTCTGTACAACTTCCCCTTCCAGTTCCCTTGTTAACTCTGCTCTCAGTGCAGATATGTTCATTCCTTAAGTAACACTTAAAAGTTTAACATGTGAATTCAGAATAATTAAAGCAGTAGCAGCACATTTCACAGTAAAAAGCTAATGTAGTCATACTTTACTACTATGTCTGAAAAGTGCACAGAATCGAACTCAGGCCTTTTAATGCTTCCACCATATTTTAAAAACAAAATTGAGGTGATGTTTGAGTGTAATGTTGGAGTATTTGAAATGTGTTCTACTTCTTGGTTACAAACAAGGTCTCATCCACCAGTCTCCTCAGCTATATCTGCCAAGCCCCTGCTTATATCTTGCAGTTGTTACCCAAGTCCTTATCCCAATGGAGAGGCTTTTGGTTGTCAATAAAGTGCAGCAATGATACACTTTTCTCTAAATGGTTTGTCAAGACACTTCTCTACATGCATAGAAATTCTGTTCTCAAATAAGCTCTAAAAGCTGATTAAATTAAGAAACAAGATAGTAATGAACAATATTTTTCCGATGAGTTTTACTTTCTTTCAATCATTGTTTTGTTTGCAGACCAGCAGTGGCTTATAAATGAGAAGAAACGACTGGCTGCCCTTCAGCAACAGCACAGGGAGTTTGCCGTGCAAACAGAGCCTGCGCTGTGTGCAGAGGCTGAGGTGCAGAGTACCACTGGGCTGGAAACCTGCCCTTCCCTGCTACAGCAGAACAAGAAGAGACTGGTGCAGCTGGAGCTTTTGCGAAGATACTCCTTAAAAAAGGCAGAAAGGAACATAAGACGGAAAAAGGTCAAATTCCAGCTGGAAAGGATAGTCAAGAAGCAGAAGTTACTGGAAGCCAAACAAAACCTAGAGCAGCTGGAAGCTAGCTGCTGGCTCAATGAAGAGTGTGTGAAACAATCCCAAGCCCTAGATGAAAATACTGCTGTAGAGCCCTCTTCGGATCACCAGTTGCAAAAGAGAAGAAAGTCATTGGGTTCAAATTCCTTGCAGCACAGGCAGCATTCGTTTTGTAACCCACATCTGTCCCAGGTACCCAGGTAAGTTAACATCTACCAATTCCTCTGCACTTTCAAAAGTAATTTAAATTCAAGGTATTATCAGTGCCATCTATAATCCAGAATGCCTTTCAATGCCTTGAAACAATCCCAAAACTTGCAATGTCAGTGGGTTGTGAGGGTGTCTATCACAGCATGGTCCTGGAGGCAGGACATAGCCAAACTCTGCTAAGTGGATTTCTGTGAATTAGAACCATCCTTTATTTTTAACCAATATTTGCAGCTACTTGTGCCTACAGAGACTAGATACTCATGCTATACCACGTAGCATCGAGCTATTCCTTTGTGTGGCAGAACATATTTCAGGATATCTAGGGACTGTATGGTTACGGCCAGAATTTTTTAATCCTCTGCTAGAATTTGCTTTTGAAAGGCATGAAGACTGTTGCTTCATGTGTCGTTACTCTTAACATTACTGATGTTACTCTAGACATTACTGATGTGGAAGCATTGCTGAATACATTATTCAAGCAAGGATTGGGCTTTATTTCTTCTTTATTTCCACAGCTGTTTGTTGAAGAGAGAGACTGTCTCCAAGTTATCTACCTCACCAAATATTGATCAATGCTGTGAAGACAGTACAGTAGGGAGGTTGTCATCCGTAGAAGAATATCTTTACAAAAGAGGTAAAGACGTTGCTGGGAGCAATGACCTTAATGATGAAAAAGGGATCTCCTTTTCAGTCCAGAGGCAGCTAACTGAAAAACAAAAAACATCTTCATTTGGAAATAAAAAAGTAGAAAAAGACTCTAATGATTCAGCTGTCATGGCTTATATCAATAAAAACGATCAAAAAATTGAAAAGTTGGATGACAACCCAGGGCAAGCTGGATCTCAAAACCAGCCCTGTAAAGGCTCCTCTCCTGATCTTTTTAAGGAGAAAGATGAGCCTGAAACCTTTATTACAGGGACAAGAATGACAAAAGCAAAGGTGCTAGGAGATTTAACTCAGCCTGCTAGTAGCAATCTAGAACAAAATAGAGCTCAGGTATCCAATAAAAAGGCTAGGATGGATATCAATGGAAAAGACCACAGCTGTTCTCCAGAAAACTCTCCTAAAGAAGTTAAGAAAACAGCGTATGGAAACCCACCATCAGTGCATCTAAACCAAACAGCCAAGAACTGGAAGAGCGAGCCAAACTCAGCCTTGCCAAGTCATGAGAAATCATCAGTGGAACAGCAAGAATTCCTGATGGTAGCAACATCAGTGGGAAATCTCACTAAGATGAACACACAGGCACCACTTGCTTATGTTGAAAAAAAATGGCACAGTGCTGAGATGCTGAGTGCTGGAGTGTCCAAAACAGCCACAGATATGCTGGGGAACTGGCAAGAGGATGATGAAAATGAGATTTCTGATACTGACAGTTCCTATTCTGTAGATTCTCTCTCCTGTGCTTATGCAAAAGCTTTCACAGAGAAACTGAAACAAGAAGATTTTGACAGAAACAAATGTCTGGCCAACCCCGAAGATTCTGAGAGTGATGACAGTCAAATGTCACAAGACTCTCTGGTAGAAAAGGAAAACAAAGCCAAAAAGCAAAATAAAAGCCGATTTCACAAGTCAAAGGCCCACCATGAGCCAGCTAAGCTTTACAAAAGCAGAACTGATCACCATATTCCGTCTTCGGTGACGTCATATGCATCTCGTAGGAGACTGGGAAAGCCTGAAAGAAGCTTTTCTCTGGACAGTTTAGCTGATGGAGAAGAGATGCCAGCAGAAGATCCAGTAGAAGAATCCAAATCTGATTCATCTGATGAAGTGCCAGCAGAGATTTTTTGGAAGTTGCAAACTCCTAGATCACAAAGTATACAGACTGAGGAAGACCATGAGTCCAAGACCTGCAACAGAGATACAGAAGGGACAAATTATGATCTGAAGCTGAGCAGTTCCTTTTATTTGGACACTAAACCACAGCCTGCTTCCAGTAATGCTTGCAAGCAGTTGCTGAAGGGGACCAAAGTCTCCTTTGTAGAACAAGAAAGGTCTCTTGATAGAAGACTGTATTATGCAAGTGGAAATCCTTTGCTTGCTACTGATGCTTGGTCTTCCTGTAACTCAAAGGTTGACACCAGCAGCCCCAGAATAACAGCACCTTCTTCCCATGAAAATTTGGAATTTCAAGAAGCTCATCTGTGCTCTTTGAGCAAACCAGAGCTTTGGCTGAAGAAAGATGATCTGAAGCAGTCAGCTGCTGAAGTTTCTTTTGTTTCTGGCTCTAAGCAGATACGTAGCATTACTCATTTATCACATCGTATAAATGAAATAAACACAGTTTTCTCCTCTGACACATCAGAAGTACCTTTACCTGAAACAACAACTGCTAGCAGAGTTTCTGAGTGTGGATCATTAAATAAGATTCTTAAGAGATGGACAAACTCTAACGAAAATTCTTCCTTGGAATCTCAAGACATAATGTCCTCATTTGTTAGCTCAATAGGACCAAGCTCCTCTTTTGTTCCTATTTCAGCAAAGCATGATTATTATGAGCATTCAAGGTCAAATCATCCTGAACAAGAACAACTGAATGAATTATCTACTTATAGGTCTACCACTGAATGCACACAAACATTCAGCTGTTTGGAAAGTGCCTCCACTGAAGACTGCTTGTCACTGGTATCTAGGAGAGAGGAGGATTCTCTCCCCACAACTCTTCCACAGCTGCCAAAAGATCATAATCTGAAAAAAACATCTTTTATTTCTATGTTGCCCATGCACATTTTGGAGCAGAGAAATGACTGTGTAGATGCAGATTTCGAAGACGATTTCTTCAGAACTTTTGAAAAAGATGACCTCGATGATGATTACAATAATTTGATGACAAAATCAAATATGACAGAGTCATGCAGTGGAAGTGCATCTGTCAGTGCAATGGCTGCTGAATCTTCTACAGGACTTGCTCATAATATGACCTCAACCCAGACATCTGCAGTAAAACAAGTCCACTTTGGAAGCCATGGGCAGCTTTTTCCAAGAAGGGAAATACCAACGTGTTCTGATGAAGGTTTCTTTCTCAGTGACTTAACAAATAAGAACTGCTCCCTAGTAGACAGTTATGAGCTTCAGACATTGGCTGGACAAGGAGCAGAATCAGCTGGTACGGTAAGTCTCCTCAGATCTGGGAAGAGTAATTTGGAAGCAATGCAAGAAACAGATTATCAACAAATATCTGCTGAAGAAATAACAACAGAGACAGATTTTTCATCACAGAAGACAACGTATCGATGTAACCCTTTAGTTGTTGCTCACAGTGCAAGTTATGACCAATCTGCAACACCAATAGAGATGTCTCAGAAAGAGATTATCTGTATGGAAACAAGCACAGATAGCTTGGCAGAGGTTGTGCCAGAGGTGCCTTCATTCAAAGATAATGAAGAATATGAACCAAAGGATGAAGACTTGTCTTCACTGAATCATCACGAATTCAAAAGCAAACTTGTTTCAAAAAATTATTCCCATGAATGTGCTCTAGCAGACAGTCCGGCAAGTTGCTTATCCCAAGAAATTTCAGAAAATTCTACATTATGCATTGATAATATAAGAGAAGAAAGCAGCGAAAGCGAAGAACACAACGTCTTGAATTCTCAGGCTGTAGTTCAGAAAGAATTTTCATCTAAATATGACAACTTAGTGGTAAATGAAGTAAGTTACCTCATAGTGAATGTAAATGGGAAAGACACTGAGTCCTTCCCTGCTGCTATTTGTGAGAGTACAAATGATTTTCTACCAGAATCCAATTCAGGCATATTTTACAAAGCTTCAACAAAAGCTAATCTTTTCCAAAGTGCATCTGAGACTGAAAATTATGATAAACTATTGGAGCATGCCACAATAGCGAAAGGAGATTGCGATGCTACATCTAATCTTACTATGGAAGTCAGTGCCACAGAAGGTTGTTCTGATGTACGTTCTGGCTGCCTTTGCACAACGTGCCCTTCAAAATCAACAGGGCAGAAAAACAGTATGCAGAAGACGACCGACATTTCTGTGCAATTTGATGCAAACGTTCTCTTGGAAACAGAAACAGAGAACAAATGTTTACTTGAATCAAGAGAAGAGAAGGAAGCCTTTTTTGAAAGTGCTTGCCCAGAGGATATCTTGCTTGTTGAAGATGATGTAAACTCAGAGTCAGGAAGAGTATTTGAATACAACACAAATACACCAGCTACTGTTTCTCAAGAGGAGAGTCCATATATAAATAAAGAATCCAAAGTTTTAAGCAACCTAGAAGCCAATCCAGAAGAAACTATGGTTCCTTATCAGAATACAAAAGCAAATTCTGATGAAGAAATAACAAAATTAATCAACACTACAATCAACTTAGAAAAAGATGCACTGGAAATTAAATCCAGACAGATTGAAAGTTTACATGACTACTCAGTAGCCAAAGTCCAAAGTGTAACTGAAGACAGGAGTGGAGAGGATTGTAAAGGTATTAGTCTATCTCAGAATCCAAAGAAACCTATCGATATCGTAGCTTGTGAAGTTCAGTGTGAGTTTTATACAAATCTGTGCCTGACACATGAAGAGGCAGAGAAGGATGAACTGCAGGTAGCCAGCATCAGGGTGGAACACACTCAGGAATCAAAAGCACTTGTGCATTCTGGCAGCCGACTTGAAACAAGCAGCTTCTGCCAAAAAGAAAAAAGTGAGAAAATAGAAGTAGGCATTTATTCACCAGAGTTTTCCATTGCTCCCAAAAACACTCCTTCAGCTCTGTGTTCCCACAAAACAGATGCTACTCAGAATACTTCAGGCTTCCTTGATACTTGTGGGGGGCTTTTACAGATGACTGGAACAATAGAAAATATGTTTAATACAGAGGATGTAGCTGCAACGGTGCTAATCACAAGGAGGCAAGGAAATATTTTAGCAAAACCTGAAAATGAAGGACCAGTAAATGCTAGCAATTTAATTGAACATCATATACCAAACTGTTTGCCCCAGGAAGAAAAGGTTAATCAATGTGAAGTGACTGGGAGTGAAGAGCAAATCATGACAAACACTGAGGGGCTGGTTATTACGAGGCAAGAAGTCATGCACACAGATGAAAACGTTTTATTTACGGAAGAGTCTCCAGCTCTGCATCAGATGTATTGCGACGCAGATGACAAAGAGGAAATTTTAAATCAATTTAAGATCCCTGAAAGATATCTGACAGCTTCAGAACTAGAACAGAATATACTGTTAGAAGGTGACCCAAGATACCATGATCCTCCTGAAATGAGCGAAGATAGTGGCTCAGTGGACTCTGTTACAGATACAAGAAATGAAGTCATGAAAGATATCGATACATATGAATATTCAGTTGATGATAGTACTGGTATTGACCAATATAGAATTGAACAAGAGGAATTTAGACATCTCCACATTAAAGAGGACAGCCACACGTATATGAGTTGCTCTATGCAATATCCTGAGCATGGCACTTCAGAAAACTTGAACGTAAGCGTCGATAGAAAAAATCCTGGTATTTGTGAATTGGATCCAGTAGGCTCCAGAGCTGAGGAGGAGAAAGTGCATTTGATGAATCCAGTACAAATGGCCAAAACAGAGAAAGAAAAGCAGATGTTTGTAGAAAACACAGAGGAGGTAGAACTGATCATTTTACAAAACCTGAACGAACTATTCCCTGAAAGCAAAGACAGCTACCAAATGACACATGATGACAACAGATTAAGTGAAATCTTAAGAGAAAGCCAGTGGGTGTCTACCAGCTTTTCTAGAAATAATGAAGATATCAGCAAGCAACAAAATCCATCAGCAACACTGAAGTCTACTGAAAAAAAACAAGAAGGTTCACTTAAAGACTCCCCATGCCAGTCTGTAAATCACCTTTTGTATCTTGGAGTAAGTGATGATTCCCATCTTGTTCAAGATGTTCCCACTGCCTTGAAAGGACATACAAAACCATCTAACAGCAGTGTTGGAACTGGAGCTGTTCTGCCTTACTATGAAACATTAATGGAGAGTGAGGTCTGTGTTGGTACGCCTGTTACAGTCAACAAAACGGGAGAAGACAAACATCTTTCTGATAAAGCACAAAGTAAGACTGTAGCTTTTCTGCAAAGCAGGACTACACAGGACAGGCAGGGGGGAGAATCCTTTGTATTTAACAGTGCACCTGATTATGTCATATCTGGGCAACCTGTCAATGAGAACAGCTCTTCTACTCCCTGCAGTGGAGGAGTTCCTGAGTCTGAAACTGTTGTACTTCAGGCAGGGGCCAAACAAAACTCATTTTCCTTGGAAAAATTAGATTCTTCTGAAGATATAATTCAGGATGTTAACAATGCTCATGAAGAACACAGTGTGGATTTAATGGTTAATGAACTACCAAAAGACTGCCCTAATTCCGTAGAAGATACAGCTCAAGAGGAAAAGGGTACCATTGTGCCTGATTCACTGCTCTTGGATAATTCAAACCTGCTTTCTTCTTCAGAGAAAGAAGCGATTGAAGATACAGAGGGGGTAAAGCTTCATTCTTTACTAGAAATCTCTTCACAAAAAATGTTTCACAATATTAATACAACTCAGAAAGTACTTCACTCAGGGAGTTTATCACAGCGTGATGAGGAGAAATTTTTAAGCACAAGCTGTACTACAACAAACAGTAAAAATGAAAATGCAAAGTTTCCTGCTGTAGCTGGATATCAGTGTGAGCCCAGAGAAAATCAGGGACAAGGGACTTCTGAAGAGTGCTGTGTGGACCAACTAGGCAGCACTGTCTCTGAGAACACTTCAACCCTTTCAGAAGCCCTGAACAAGTCTCCATGGGAAAATCCACGGTATAGTAAAGAGTTTCTAAATTATAATAGGAGCTCGGGTACTTGTGAAAGTTCTCCTGGTCTCCTGAATTGTACAGCATCATCTGCAGATATTTTGATTGCCAGCAATGGAGACAAAGGTAAAAATGATGCTGTTCTCTCAGAAGAAACAAAATACTTTGAAAGTGAATCAACAAGTGTATCTGTAAATTTTCCTGATGTTTCTCAAAAAGGAGATGAAAGGAAAAATAATTCTGCAGTTGCCGTGGCCACATATTCTCAGAAGAATAAGCTCCCTGAAAAAGTCATGGGAAGAGATCAAAAGGAGGAAATAATTCAAGGCTCTTTCCAGAATTTCAATGACATAAAAGAAAATAAAATCCATGAGTACTCAGAACACTATGGTAACACTTGTAGTGTGACTGTACCAGAATCGGGCTCACTTACTTTTCAGAGCCGAGGACAGACTGGCAGTAAAGAATCAAAGTCTCTTTCATCCCACTTTGCAGAAGGTAATCCAACTGATACAACTTTTCAAAGCTCCAAGAACTTCAGTGCTTTTGACACTTCTTGTTTACTTGATGACTCAAAACCTCTACTATTTAGTCAGCTTGAGAACTCACTTCAAGACACTATTTTGACTGAGCAAGTGTCCTCCAGTTCTGCAGATGTGTGCTCTGTAAAAGAAGGGGATTTTCCCCAAGTATTTGCAAGTGTCAATCACCCATCCTTAACACCATTTTCAGAATCTTCTTTAACTGCAGATATTGGCCATGGTGAAAGTGGCACATACAATATTTCACACACAAGTATATCGAAACATTCTCCATCTGCTGTTTTGCAAATACAAGACACTCAGTCTGATAAGGCTGTGGTGTTCGATGAGCCGATGCGTGCGTCAGGAAGTATTTTACTTTCTCTTGCAAAAGAAAACAGGCATTGTCCAGTATCAGACACAGAATCTACTTCATATAAAAATTCTGCTGTAGATGGGGAACTTATATATGGAAGTAATCGTAAAAAAATTGACAATGATACAAAAGTTGATCAGCACCACTGGGGTAAAGTTCCACCACAGGAAGCTTGCACAGCACACACAGAGAAAGTACTAAATGATAATTCTCTTTTATTACCATCATTACCTTTTTGGGATACTGGAAGGGCAATTCTTGTCGAAGAGGGGGAAATGAGAAAAAAAATTAACAGAAATGAGAAAGAACTGCATTCAAATACTGAGGCTGAACATTTTGCAGTACAGGCAGAGCAGAGAAAAACAGTAAGTAGAGAACCTGTTGAAAAGCAAACTAATGTATCCTCCAATTCTGCAAATGAATTAATGGTCTCAGAAGTTACAGGGTTGGAAAATCTGTATCCAGGAGATGTCAATGTGGATCCTGAACACACCTGCAATTCATTTAGTCCAGCATATCCCACATACAGCACAAGCACTGATACCAGACGACTGTATCACACTGTCTTGGGTTTTGAAAAAAAACCTGCAGATCTGCGAGATAATTGTCAGTACATGCCTACAGATGAACAGATAGAACAGGTGCCAGATAGAACGAATACAGATGGCAGAAAAGAGATTTTACTTTGCAAAAATAATAATACAGGTTCAAGCGCTGATAGCCCTGCTGATGATGGTGATGTAGACAATTGTTCAACAACGGGAGACACTATAATGAGGAACAAGACTCTGAAATCAGAAAGAGTAAAGTTTTCTGAACTGAACAATGAAAGTACATCTGTAAAGTTTTTACCAGAAAACCATGATTTGCCTCCTCAAGAATCTAAATTGGTGCAATTCAGGAGCAAAAGATCATATTCTACTATATGGAATACAAAGAGCTGTAAACAAAGCAAACAGAGACCTTATTTACAAAGTCACAGACTATCAGCCCCAGCTATTGCTGTCTTCTCTGATATAGAATGTACTTTGGAAGCTTCATCTAAGGCAGATCCTTTGTTGTATTCTGCATCTAAATCACTACAAGATTTAAATATGAGTGTAGAGCCTCCATCACCAACTGAAGATGATCTTGGAATTGAAAGATTTTCAAAGCAGGAGTCAAAGAACTTTTTGCAGGTTAAATCTAAACCCAGATTTCAGCAAAGAATGGCACAAACTAAGAAGCTTTCACACTGTGACCCCAAAAATTTACAAAATTTTGCAGCAAGAACCCAAAGCAGGCAGTCTTTAAAGGACTGTATTACTCCATCTCCGTCATCCTTACTGCACACAGCTCACAGTTCTGCGGGTGCAGAAGCAAATGTACACTCAAAGAGTAGTTCTGTAGCTCAGTGTAGTGAAGGGAAAGTTGAAGAAGCTGGATACCAGCCAGAAGGAGATTTATTTTTGCATGACAATAAAGATACAATGCATTTTAGTTCAAGTGATATCAACCCATATATTCATCCGTGGCAACAAGATGGATTGGGCAAGATTGGCTGGAAACAGTATGTTTTTGGAAGTGCAAGTGATGTCTCTTGTAATCAAATTCCTTTAAACCTGGAAAATCGTAAAGTTATGAGATGTTCCAGTGTAGACAATGGATTGAATTCTCAAAATTCTCCTTTTCATTCTCATCTCAGTTCGTATGCTACAGCAAAAGTTTTATCGAGCACTTTAAGCAGCATTGAAGGTCTTCAAGGATGGGACAATGTCAGACAAGACTTTCAATCTGCATACTCAAGTGACAGTACTAAGCAGTATAGCAACATATCCAGTGAAACATTGGAAGCTAATCCAGAAAATCACACTGCTGCATTTGAGAATCCTTCTGCACAACCTGGTAACTCTTCAATGCAGGTTGATGAAATTGTACTATTATATCCTTCTGAGTCTGAAAGGTCTTCCAAAAAACTACCAGGGATTACGTGTGAGCAGGGAACACAAACTGCAACTACAGGAAGGTATAAAAGGCAGAGAAGACATCAGAGAAGCTATACAGATGTTTCTGCAAGAAAGCAGGAAACAAACAGAGATTTATTTCATCAGTCTTCTTGGACAAGCATGCAGAACCTGTCCATGCATCTGTCACAGCTTCTTCAGAACACTTCTGAGCTGTTGGGAAACCTCTCCCAACAAAGTGTTATAGATAATGAGCAGAATGCCAAAATCAACCAAAGAAGAACTGAGGAAGCTGTAAAGGCTACTAGATCAGACAGCTGCACTCAGACTACAGCAGATGTAGGTACTCAGACTGAGATTTTGGAAGAACCTCAAAGCAAACATGAAGAAAAACAAGTGGAGGCAAAAATGGAAAATCAGTTGAGGGCAGCTCAGGCAGTAAATGTTGATTGGAAAGGAACAGGCGCAGATGCAGTATGTAAGATTCCCAAAAGGAAAGAGGAAACACTCTCTCTTGAAGAAAGAACACAAGAACGAGCAGGGATGAGAAATCTGGACAATCCTGACTTCCACGACAGTCTTGACAGCATTTTGGAAGACTCTTTTATGCGTCTGCCTCTCTTAGCCAGAACCTCCACTCCTATCCTAGATTTTCAAAAAACATCATTAAATGCACAGCAGAATGTTGCTTTTGCCAGTACCAGAGTTTCATCTGTCACATCATCTTCACTGAGTTCAGGGCAAGATGGTTCTTCATGCACGGTAGTTAGCAGCCCTACTAATAGCACCTCTCAATCTGTAGCATCCCACGCTCAGGATAAAAGAAGTGTCAATGAACTAGAGGTTCCAGCAGAAAGAAAATTTCATTACAAGAACACCCTGCTAGTCGATAGGGCCTCTTCCCCTATTCTTACTATTAGTGCTAGTCCCAGCAGCCAGACTGCTTTTAACAAGTCGTTCTGCCCTGTTAAGGAACCTCTCGGATATTCCAGTGATGCTTCAAGTCCCCTTCACAACCAAAAAAGGCAGAGGGCAGGTCCACAGTCCAGCATTCAACCTCACGTGGACAATTTTTCACAGACAGAAACAGAGAGTGAATCTAGCGCTTCTAGAGAACATAATGGCGTAACAAAGAAATCCGGAATTTTCTCAGATAAGAAAGCAGCCAAAGAGCTTTTAGGACAGGATGGTTCAAAAGACTGGGAACAACAGCATAGGCTCACGGTCGACACGCACACCACCATTTGTGCAAAACGACTGTATCACTCTAGTAGTACGCTGGAGGTGTCAGGCCACAGGGAAGTTTTAACCGGTGATCTCGGAGACCGCAGTCCATTGGCACGTTCGCTTCGTTGTATGTATGTCACGAGGGGAGGAAGAGGTTCTTCAGCTGGAATTGGACACGAAAAGTATGTTGGTAATTCTGATACTGCTTTGATTGATAGCTCCTCACCTCCGAATGCTGACTTACTTTTTAATCAAAAAATCAGTGCCACTTGTTCAAGGAAGACAAATGTTGACATGTCCTCAGAACCTCTGGCAGAAGCATCTTCTCTACAGTTTCACAATTTCTTCTGGAAAAATGACAACAGCTGCCCTCTTCCGCTCTCTGACATGAGCGATGTGCAAACTTCCTTCCAAGGTGACAATACAGATTCTGTCACTGAAAGCGAATGTGACACTGAAATTCCTCTCAACAAAAACACTGCTTTTGCCAAGCCTTACAGGCCTCGGAGCTACAGTCTCCGTGACTTACCCATACACAATAAATTTAGCAACTGGTGTGGTGTTAAGGGCAGCCCTTCTCCTTCCTTACTCAGCTTGAGTGGCAGCGTGACTGATTTACAAAGTCAGGCAGAAAAGACACCTAGAAGCGCACAAGCAATAGAAATGGAAGGGAAATCCCAGCTTTGTGACAGCAGGAGCAGAGAGATCGAGAGGCTTCAGAGAGAGCGCGCTCAGATCATGTCTGGCATTCACCTGGATCTGCATCAGCATCCTCTCACTGTGGAGTTGACCGAAGCAAAGCTCAATTACGGCATCGGGGAAACGGACGCCCTGCTCAGGGTCCTTCAGAGCGGAACTGCGGATGACCTGGTGGCGATTCCAGTAAAGCAGCAACTTTATGAAAGGTAAATTACTTAAAGTAGTGTTGTATTAAGTATTGCGAATACACTTCATGTATCTAATCCGTGCAGCGTAAAGAACACCTAGTAATGAGCACTTTATCAGTCACACTGGGTGAACTGTACGTGAAGAAATAAGACTATTAAGCTTATTTTATATACAGTTAAGTAATGCATTTGACACAAAATTTTGGGGTTACTTAGAATAGGGAAAAGGGTAACATTCAGTGTAATTCAAATTTAGTGTCACCTCACTTAAGATTTCTAGCAGCTATGAGAATCATCATGTGTACCTGGTGATCATGGGAAAATATTTAATTGATTTATTGCAATGTAAAAATAACTGATTCATCCTATTTACGCGAATCTCTCATTCATGCTCCTGTGAATAAATGCTGCTCTATGAATATGCAAAACCAAATTTTAAAACCTCATAAATACACAAAATAAATTATGAAAACATCAAGATCCTAGATTCTTGTAGTTGGATTATAGAACTCAGTTTAGGGAGCTGTTGTAACTTAAAAATTTAAGGGTAGTTCATTAGTCTCCATCCCCAATTTGTGTCTCAGCCATTACAAGCAGTAACCAAGACCCTCTTGCGCATTTCCTGCTGTTATAAAAGCAGTGGAGTTTTAGAATTTCTGCATCATCTGTCAGCATGTGGCCAAAGAGGTGTTTGCAAAGGGAGTGTATGGTATTAGATTCCCATAAATTTTACATTACCAAGCTACCTAATGTTTAAGTGTTTTAAAAAATCAGAAAATGTAACTTTGTAGGGTGCCTTTTGTCACTCTAATCATCTTTCCCTGACAGACACATGAGAACTATTGAAACTCTGAGGAAGGAAAGAGAAAAAAGGCTGCAAAGATACCAAAGAAGCCGAAGTCTGAGTCCTCAAAAGCATCTAAGCCTGTTGCAGACGCTGGATGCAAGCCAGAGGGAACTAGATCTCCCCAGCAGACGCCGAGAATATCTGCAACAGCTGAGAAGAGATGTGGTGGAAAACACCAGGTAGGGTGTTAGAAACGTCTCTTTTGGCCTGATGAACATCAACAGTGTTCACAACGGGTGCACATTAATGGTTCTTACTGACATCTGAGACTTCTGTGGCAGAAGATTTTTCTCAATGCGGAAGTGTTAAACTTTGGGATGGAAAGTACTGTCAGGAAAAACGTGTGCCTGATTTTAGAAAACACTCATTAAAATCTTCTGTTTAGTTTATTTCGGTCTATAACAAGTGTCTAATTTATTTGATGTGTATGATGTATGGGGACAGCCAAGTATTCAGTTGTCGTGGGTTAAGCCGATCCGGCAACTAAACCCACGCAGCTCTCGCAGTCCAGTAAGATGGAGAGGAGAGAAAAATGTAATAAAAGAGCTGAGGATCGAGACAGGAACAGAGGAGCACACACCAACCACGGTCCCGGGCAAAAGAGGCTGTTTTCTTAAAGCAAAACTATTTATTAACAGCTACCTAGAAAGAGAAAAGCACACAAAAACGGTTACTTGAGACAATAACAAGAAAACAAGGCCAGGTCTTAACAACAACACCACCCCCCACCTCCCTTTGCCTTTTCTTCCCGGCTCTATCTCCTCCTCCCCCCAGCGGCGCAGGGGGGCA